CCTGGTGAATGGATAAGCAAACTGGGATGCGTGTGTGTTGTGTGCACCACACACAACTGAAAGGATGCACTCCAGAAACACAACTACACAGAGAAATCTCAAAGACACGCAGAATGCCATAAGCCAGACTATAGGAAGCCATTTGTGTGGAATACCTAGGAAGTCAAAGCCACGGGGACATGGTAAGCATGTGCCAGGGGCTGTGGACAGGCGCCGCAGTTTCTCAGCACAGCCTGTTGATGTATGGGCTCGATAACTCGGTGTGGGGCCCACCTGTGCCTTGTGGGGCCCTTAGCGGCTGCCTGGCCTCTACTCAGTGCCAAGGTATCTGCCTGGCACTGACGGCACACATGTCTCCAGACATGGCCAGGCGTCCCCTGGGAGGGGCAGCGCCCTGCTGGGAGCTGAGCAGATGAAAGGCAGCCCGAGGGAAGTGTTGGGGCCAGGACTGCTCTGTGTCCTGACCCCAGTGCTGCCCGGCCAGATCCACACATGTGGTAACACTTAGAGATTCACACACCAGAAACATACAGATTGGTTTTACTGTGGTCTTGATTTAAAAATGAAGACTTTAAAAAGCACAAAAACAAAACGTCCCTGAGGAAGGCAAGCCGCGAGTCCCATGAAAGAAGTCGGGAAGGCTGTGGTCTCCACACTTCTACCTGGCTGTCAGGTGGACTGGATGCTGTTGCTACCCATGGAGAGCTCTGTTGTCACACACCTAGAAAACCTTTCTTTCGCAGATAAAATACAGGGTGCTGCATTAAATTTGAAGGATCACAAATAACTGCTCAGTTTAAGTGTGTTCCACATATTGCAAACATTATTTATCTTCTGAAATTCAAGTTCAATAGGGCATCCGGATTTTTTTTTGTTTGGTTGGTTCTTTTGCAAAATATGGCTGTTCCACAGGCTTTTAAAAAGAAGTATTAACTCTCAGCTAAAGTAATAATCCCAGAGGCACAGATTTTATAGACTATTATGTATATATTGTCTTCCTACCTAGGTTCTTTAATTCACCTACACCAACTCCTATGCTTTATACATTTTCCTGGACATTTAAATATAAGTAATTACACACATTAACTAAAGCTAATACATTGTAACATCACAAAAGGAAAAGGAATTCTCCCCTGTAGTAACCTTTCTTGGCCTTTTCTTGCAATATTAAAATAAGTTTTACCTATGTACACAATATAGGAGGTTAAGATGTGGCAATGTATCTGCGTTAGTATGTGCAATTACTTATTTTGATTATATGTGTTCAGCATCTGGGACAAGTCAGATTGAGTAGGGAGCCAGCCACAGCTCTGAAACAGGGCCACCGCCTCTTAGGGGATGTGTGGCAATGCCCAGGGACAGTTTGGTTGTTGCTGTGGCGGGGGGGGGGGGGTTGCGCCTTGCCTTCCTAGAAAGAAGCCAGGCTGCCGCTAGATGTCCGACATTGCAGGGGTGACTCCTCCACGGTCACCCAGCCCGGACATCTGTGATGCTTCCCCCTGTGGCTTGGTGTCTTCTGTGGTCTGCAGACACACTGCGATCTCACAAATCAGGCATTCTTCTGACAGTGCTGTGAACCCCCGTGTACAGGCTACCCTGCGATCCGATTCTCTGGGTTATGTGTCTAGGAGTGGAACGATTGGGCCACATGGTGAAGGTGCATCTAACTCTTTTAAGGAATTGCCTGCCAAGTTTCTGTATCCCTGGGATTTTTGTTGTTGTTGAATATGAGCGTCTGTCAGGTTGTCTTTCAGCCTTTGAGTTGAAAACCTGAGTCTCCCCTAATTCAGCGACAGAGGGGAGAGGGCCTCTGTCCTCTGAGGGCCGGCTCTGTGCCAGCCCTGCCATGCCCTGCACAGTGCCCCCTCTCCTCAGCCTCTCCAAAGGTGGCAAGAACAATGCCGAGCGCTGGCTTGGACTGACAAAGGAAAGCCATGCTTCTGGGTGGCCGGGGTGCGAATGTGAGCTTCAGGGCTGGTTTGATCCAGCCACGTCGTAGTCTCACAGGCAACCTTATCTTCCTGCTGTTCCTGTAACGGAGTCAGCCTGGTTTGAAACACAGGGGCTCCCCAGCTTGTAGGGCGGAGGCAGAACACTTGCTCAGCATCTCCGAGGGCCAGGGTTCAATCTGCAGCACTGTGGAGAGCGAGGTGGAGTCTCCCTGTGGGTGCCGGGTGGTAGCCAGTTCTGGGGCTCCTTCCGTCTCCCCTCCCTCAGTCCTATCTAAAGGGCAAGAGCAAGTTCCTTCTGGATGTTCCAGTAGGACGACAATTTCCCAGGAACTGCCAGGACCCCTGCCTTGCGTGCCCTGACTGAACTGGGTCATGGATGCAACCCTAATACTGGGATTAGTTGCCTCTTACTAAACCGAAGGCCCCACCCAAGGCCAGGGTGAAGTCGAGTTAAGACGCACCTGCCTAAATGCAAATTGGGTTGTTACCCGGGAGGGGGTTGGGTGAGGCCTGTCCGCCTCCACCCCAGCACGCGGCTTTGCCTGTCTTGGCCCATATGGGCAGCTCAGTGGCAGACGCAGTCCGCATGCCTTCTGTCCTGACTGTGCTGCCCCGATGGTCAAGGGAGTGAGCCAGAAACCGCTCCGGGGTCTGGGCTTGGAGGTGTCAGGAACAGCATCAAGTTTTCAGACCAGGCATTTTTATTTTGCCCTAAAAGTCTTCCAGGGGGGAAACATATTCCTAGGGGCTTTAATGGTGCCTTTTATAGAACTGCTCACATTTTAGATGGATGAACTTGCAGAAACCCCACTCAAGAATGCAGGAAAGCCCCACATTAACAGGAAAGGTGAAGGGGAGGGCTGCGATGTTTGTCCTCCTGAGCATTAGCTCTTAGAAACCAAAGCAGACCCCTTGGTGCCTTGCAGGTACCGGGAGGCTGAGCCTCGTGACTCCTGGCCCATCTAGGACTCCAGGCGAAGTTAACTCAGATGCGGACAGGCAAGGCCCTCCCAAGCCCCAGATGTCACTGGCCTTGACCTCCTTACCTCTGGGGTGTCCCCCTCTGGGGTCACACCCTGTCCTGGGTGGGCTCCTGGGCCTCGCTGAGCTTAGGCTGAGGAAATAGGCTTTGTCTGTCTGCATGCACCGTCATCAGAGCTGGCCTTAGACCCGTGTCCCCAAGACCCCCTGTGTCAGAGGCCAGAGACAGACGGATGGCTGCTTTCCAGGCCCTGTCGCGTGGCCACCAGCGCAGCAAAGACACAGAGGCCTCTCCCCTCACTTTGCAGGCCCCATGTCCTCCGGTGCCCCCTTCCTCCTGTCCAGGCTCCTTCCGGAGTGCTTGTGGCTAGCATCCTGGAAGGTCCCTGCCACACCCCTGGCCTTTTGGGCACGTTGTCACTGCGCATCCAGCTGCACATGGTCCCGGGCAGCCCGTCCAGCCTCCCGGCTTTAACTCCTCCAGGCTGGGGGCTCCAGCGCCCCCCACCGGCCTGCCACTCCCCTCTGCACTGCAGGACTTGAACCCGGGAGGGTGGCATGGGCCTGTTCCTCTCTTCCCAGACCCAAGCTCACCCCTGCCACTCGCTGGACCCCGCAGGCCCGGCAGGGGACCTCCTGCTGCCTGCTGCTTCCCTTGGGTGTCAAACGGCTTTCCTACGGCAGCCCAGCGATGAACCAAACTGTAGTTTGTCTTCTGCGCTCCAGCCCTTTCCTCAGTTTCCCCGCCTTGGTAGAAGGCCCCTCCCTTCTTCCAGGGGTCCAGCCTGGTGCATCCAAGTCTCAGCAAGTTGAGTTTCCTTGAAAACAAATCCACAACCTGCTGTTCTTCCAGTCTGGATGTCGTGTTCTGGTCGGTACAAGTGTCACCAGCTGCTGGGGGAGAACCAGCGAAAGGCACATGGCCCCGCCCTGTACATTTCTTCAACTTTCTGGTGCCTCAGTTCACGAACTAACATTAAAACTGAAATAAATTCCAAAGTGGGCTTGGAAAACTAACTGAGGACCTGGCCATTCTTCCTGCCTCACCCTCCACCCCAGGCCAGTGTCCCGCCTCCTCCATCCAGCTGCCTGCCTCTCCTGGTCTCTCTGCTTCTGTACTGGACGCCTGCCATCCAGGCTCCAGGCACAGCCTGAGATGGCCTTCAACTGCGTCTTAGCTCTGGCAGGGTTCACAGACAGGGGCTGAGCACAGCAGGGCCTTGTTCGCCCACAGTCTGGGACTCCGGGTCCCAGGTCGAGGAGAGGGTGGGTTGTGGCCCTTCCTTGCCTCCTTTGGCTGTGGCTCTTGGCTCCTTGGCATTTTGGCCTCCATCCTGCGCCTGTGTGCGACCATGGGTCCGTGTCTTTCCCTGGCAGTCGCAGGAGGCCCGCCCTCATCCAGTATGGATGAATCGCATCTGCACAGGCCTTGTTTCCAAATAAAGTCACACTGAGTTTCTGGGTGCCTATGGATGAACAGTTAGGGCAGATGCTTGTGGGTGCCCATAGGACCCAAGGTGACCTGCACCCTCCCGCCCAGATGCCTCCTCACCGCTCCTGGCACCCAGATGCCTGTCTTTGCAGGTCACCGTTGGAGTGGCTTCTGCCCAGACACCCTCTTGGCCCTCCCTCCCTGGCACTGTAGCCATGTTTGGGTGAGCTCTCCACTGCACTCAGGGGCTGTTGGCAACTGTTTCTGCTCTCCAGGACACACAGTAGGAATCCTGCCCACCCCACAAAATTAGGTTGACCACGTGACCCCATTCTGGCCAATGAAATGCATGGTTCTAGCTTCAGACTTCTGAAAACCTCAGGCCTGCTTCATCGTTCTCCGTATACTTATTTGGCTCCCCTGGACACCTGCAAGGTGTGTTTGCTGCCTGCCTTCCCCACCAGCATGGAAGCTCAGGGCCCAGGACATTCTCTCTGTTTTCCTAAAACAGTTCCTGGCCCAGACTGAGTACTCGGGCAGTGCTTGCTGGGTAAATGAACAGCCTATAGGTGGCTGAACTGTGTTTCTTTCCTGCACCCACTTCCCCTGCACCTGCTGCTTCCTGTCTAGGGCAGAGCGTGAACCCCAAGCTGGCGGGCCTGATCGGGCGGCATGGACCCCAGAACAAGCAGCCCTTCATGGTGGCCTTCTTCAAGGCCACGGAGGTGCACCTCCGCAGCGTGCGGTCCACGGGGGGCAAGCAGCGCAGCCAGAATCGCTCCAAGACGCCCAAGAACCAGGAGGCGCTGAGGATGTCCAGCGTGCCAGGTACTCGGGCTGGGGACCAGCACGTGGACCGGGGACCTCAGAGGGCCCCGTGGGGAGCCATTGAACCCGTGTAGGTACTCGACAGGTGATCTGGACAGACACAGCGGGCAACAGAGCCCCAACCCGTTCCCGCTTGACCTTCACATCTTACATCTATGAAAGCAATAAACTAATCCTAGACACAAGGAGCAAAGCATTAGCCTAAAAGATGCCAAATGTGTGTGTACGTTTCTAGAGAGACAGAACAGTGGCTACGTTTACACGTACACTTAAACAGAGGGTTGATTTCTGGGCTCGGGGTGTTTGCCTCTGGAGCAGAGGAGGAAGAAATGGGAAAACAGTTTCCTATAAACTTCATTTATTTCCTAAATATTGAAAAGTATTTGAAACTCATGACCAGTACTTTTTAAATGTACATGAAAGGGTTTCTTGTGTATTATTTGGGATACTTCTCTTCTTTGGAATGTTTTGTTATTATGAGGGAAAAAATTATAAATCAAGATAACATTGCAAACAGTTCATTGCAAACAGTTCAAAGATGAACAGAAGTGCTAAAGGTAAGAGGTTTTTCCTAAAGGACCCTTCTGGGGGTGGCAGCATGCAGGTCCACACTGTGGGCTGGGACAGAGCTTTGAGCATGTGATGCTATGTAATTCCTGAGGCTCCAAGGCAGGTGGGCTCCCATTGTACAGAGGGACAAACTTGGGGCTCAGGGGGTTGAGTAACTTGTCCAAGGGTACATAGTAAGCAAGTGGCAGCCTGGGATGCGATCCCTGGGAGCCTGGAGCATGCTGTGTGCTAGACACACTTGCCACTTGGTGTGGTCTGGGGTCACCTGCTGGGCCCAGAGGAGCTTTGGTGTCCCTGGGAGTCCTGCTGGCTTTGTCCTACCATTGTGCTGTGGCTGGGACATGGTCCCTTCCCCCATAGGCTGACTGGGGTCACAGATGGCACCGTGGATTGCTGGGATCCCAGGATGGTGCATTTTGGGTGAGAACTGGGGGCTGGGCTCCCAGGAGTCTGTGGATGCTGCGGCCAGTGCTCCCCACGCGGGCAGGGCTGTCTCTGCTAGCAGAAGATGCGTCTCTAGCATCAAGTCAGTAATGTCACCCACAAACCAGTTCCCAGTGGACTGCAGAGAGGACAGCCAGACCCACGGGCCGAAGTCTGTAGCAAGAAAAACCTCTGTCACATCCCTGGCCAGGTGACCTGCAGTGTGAGGGTGCCCTCTCCTCCTTGGTCCTCATGGAGCTGTTCATGGTGAGCAAATCTTGGCCCTTCCAAGACATCCTGGTCTCCTCTGGACCCCGTGAGTGTGGACATGCATGGCAAAGGGAAGTTAAGATTCCTGTTGAATTTCAGACACGTCAGCTGACCTCAATCAAGGCATCTTCTCCTGGGTGATCAGGTGGATGAGGAGGAACTGCAGTTCCTGATCCCATGAAGGGGAGAGACCCTTTTCTCGTGTGGTCAGGGAGGTGTGAGGCCTGGCTTAGGGAGAAGCCATGGAGAAGGCCAGGGAGAAGCCGTGTTCCTGAGCTCTGGATAGAGGCAACCCACAGCACCTGCACCCCTTCCTTTGTATTTGGGGGCCTCTTTACACCAACTCTTGGGACTGTGTTCAGTGGTGAGAGTCCTAGAGAGGTTCCCCAAGGTGCTGATTCGGGATGGCCAGGAGTGGCTGTCACCTGCATCTGTAGGCAGTGGCAGCCCCAGAGTGGGCGGAGCGACTGGGCACCTTCCCCAGAAAGAGGGCTTGGCCCAAGCCAGCTACGCCAGTGTGATGCTCCAGCCCCGGGTTGCAGGTCAGAGGTCCTGGGCAGGAGGCTTCACAGCCTCTTTGGGGTTGTGGGGGCTGAGGCAGGGCAAGGGCGCTGCTTGGGGTGAAGAGTCCTCCCCAGAGCCACATCTTGAGTTTGAAATTGATCCCAAGGAAACCCGGACGTCTTTGCACAGCTTCTGGCTGGCACATGCGGCACAGGTGTGAGATCAGCATGGTGGGAAGAGGGGAGACTGACGGGGGCTGTGGCTCAGAGCCTGGACGGTTGTTAGAGGCTTTTGCCAGTCCACAGGCAGAGGTGCTGGCGAATTCCATCACAGCGACTTTGTGTACCAGGTGTGCGCTGGGATGGGCAGTAGAGGAGCTGGGCCGTGAGGTCCCAGAAACCCGCACCGGATTTCCCCACAGTGTCCTCCACAAGCCTGGACCAAGTGTCCACGCGCACAACCGCCAGGATGAGCCCTGAAGGGGCAGTTACTCCAGCTCGCTGGGCATCTGCCCCTTTCCTGTGGATTTGTTTCCTGACCTTGTTTTAAGTTTTTCCAAACCCTGCCTGGAAATTTAACTAAAAGAAGAAGAAGAAGAGGAAGAGGAGGAGGAGGAGCAGAGAGAGAGAGAGAGAGAAGGAAGGAAGGAAGGAAGGAAGGAAGGAAGGAAGGAAGGAAGGAGAGAAGAGAAGAGAAGAGAAGAGAAGAGAAGAGAAGAGAAGAGAAGAGAAGAGAAGAGAAGAGAAGAGAAGAGAAGAGACCAAAACAAGGCGCCCCACCCTGGGTTGAGTCACCCTCGCCTCTCGTGCACGTGGGCGTGTGTGCCCGTGCTGTTTGAAGTGCTCACCTCACGGGACGGGATGGGCCAGGAATCCTGCTGCAGGGCCACACAAGTGGAAGCCGCCCTCGCACACAGCCCTCTGTGCATGGGGTGGAGACACAGGCTGCAGCCTGCTGCCTTCACAGAGCTCTTTCCCACAGCCCCTCTGCCCCACTGGGCTCTGACCTGCAGCTGCTCTTCAGATGGTGTGGTTTGGGGTGGGGAGTCGGTGCCTCGCCCTATGCGGCCCACCGCCCTGGTAATTAGCCACCTTCACCCCATAACCTAGGGGCGGTGGCTGAGGCTGAGCACCGGTTTCAACTTGTCGGCTGCTCCAGCAGGGCCCAGGGAGATGGCTGCAGCCGGCCCCACCTCCTGTGCACTCGTGCTCTGCTGCGTGGTGTGGCTGTAGCTAGAGAGCGGGTGTCCACTCTGTTCCGTGTTCTTGCTATTCTGCTGAGAAGAAGAGGTCCTAGTGATACCCAGGTGTTCAAACCACTTTCTCCTGGGACAACTGGGGTCCCTGGTGGCAGGGCCAGTGCCTGCCAGCATAACATGCCCACAGCTGGCCTTGTGAGCTGTCCTCACCCCTGTCTGTTTGGCCTTGGGTTTAAACATGAAGCCGAATACACAGCTTGGCTTTAAGACAGCACTCAGGCCACTGCTCACCTCTCCCTGGCTCCTGACAGACATTGCTAATCTACTGCAGAGCCACTGTCTCCCCACTGTGCTCTCGTGTGGCTGTAAGAGCCTTCTAGACTCAGCACACTAGATAAGCAGCAGGGTCCCTGGCCCTAGCTAATGTGTTCAGGCTCTTATCTCACTCAGGCTGCTTCACATGTCACCCCTGGGCTGCAGCACTGCTCTTTCTACTCCCTTCTGCACGCCCATAGGAAAAAAGGGGAAGTGGGCGTGCAGCGCCATTGCCAACCACAGCCTTGTGTGTTGTCACGGCAACCAGTGTCATGTAGATTTCACCTGAGGACAGTGTCCTGCAGAGCCCAGCTCCTTGGCTCTTCTCTGATGGTGCCTTTGCTTTTACCTCTGTGGTCAGCAGCAGCCTGGCCCAGTACCATTTCTCACTCACCAGGGAGCTGTGCAGAGGGGACCCCAAGTCAGGGAAGCAGGGTCTGGGGGACATTTCACTTCGCCAGGCACCCGAGTGGCAGGTTATTGGGTTCGGAGGACACGGTCAGGGTGCTTGATGGTTGAAGTTGTGTGTGACTGAAGTGGACTTCTCAATTCCCTGGACAGATGGTCGGGAGGATGTCATCAGTCACCCCTGCCGTGGGCCATGCTGACCTCTCCTGGCTGTGTCTGCTGTGCCCTGGGGCCCACACCTGCAGGGACTCCCCTGGGCTTGAGCTGCCCGCCACCCCCTGCTCTGGGTGACCCTTCCCTGGAGGCCCAGCTGGGGCTGCTGGCCGTGGGCGGCAGAAACCTCCATGCAGATGCCAGCGGGCTCCTGCAGGTGGTCGGCAGGAGACTCCCAGCCCTGCTGTTGTTCCTGCCCCGCCATCTTCCGTGTCTCTGCTGCATCTCAACGGATGCAGCTTCATTGCTGTTGCTGGGCAACGGGAGGAAGAGGATGAGCATCTTACCAAAGCCCCCATGTCCCACCACTGGATCAGTCCCTGCTTCAGTGAGAGGACGTGTGACAGTCACCAGGCAGCCACCTCAGGTCTGCCCCAGACAGGATGGGAACAGCCCCTCCTGGAGTCCCCTGACTGTCCCTGGGTCAGATGAGCAAGGCAGGCCCGTTCCTCTTCTGGGCTCCCCTCTCCATTCGGAGGCGTCCACCCTGTCCCCTCACCCACCGTCTGTTACCTATGGGGACACTCAGGCCTGGATGGCATTAGAGGGATAGACAGAGGCCAAGGCACTGACCCCTCCTTTATGTGTGCACCTGTGTTAGTTCCACTAACATTGGTGGACAAGAGGCTTTGTGAGAGGCTTCGGGGACCTTGTGGTGACGTCGCAAGACCTCTTTGAGGATGTGACATGGAAGTCACTGCGAGAGCCAGACATATGAAGAATGGGGATGGAGCATCCAGGTGTAGAAGACAGCAGGTGCAAAGGCCCTGAGGAAAGACTGATGGTTAAGAAACAGCCGATCCCGAGGGGCACAGTCAGCCATAGCTCTTAGAAAGGGTGTGAGTTCCAGACTTAGTGATTAATAAACTGAAATTATTTCAAACCAAAAGAAGAAAAGATAGAAGGAAGCCAGTCCCGGTGGGTGCAGGGTGGAGGGAAGTCGTGTAGGGCACTTGGGACAGATACACGGACAGAGAGCTTTCTATAGTGTTTACCAGAGCACTGTCCCAGGTCACACATCGGGAAAACCCAATGCATGGCTGTTGTTCTCCAAACAAACCTCAGAAGTGTCTTTTCCTGCAGGGTCAGTGGACTTCGCCTTGCTGCCCTTGTTTCTTCATGGTGGTGCTGGGCAGCCAGGTGCCAGGCCCTGTCTGTACCTCTCACTCTGCAGCGTGTCTGGAGTGGGCTGGTGGCGTGGTCTGGAAGCTGATCCCGCGAGCAGGGCTCTCACTTGGGCTGCAGGATTCGGACGGGTCCGATTCCCTCAGTATTTAAACAACATGTGCGTGTGAAGGAAACCAGCTCCCAGAGAGGGGCCTGAAAGGGCTCTGAGTGAGGACAGTGTGGGAGGGGCATGGGGTGTGGGCACCTCCCCTACTGGGGGTGAGTTTTAGGGCTGTAGGCCCTCGAACTAGCTTTTGTGCCAGGACATCCACCCTGTACTTCCGAGTCTAATTGCTGCTCAGCCCCTGCCCGTGACGGAGCGAGCTAAGCATGTGTGCATTTCTCTTTCCACCCTGAGTCCCGCTCCTTTGTTTCCTTGTCACCCCAGAAAACAGCAGCAGCGACCAGAGGCAGGCCTGTAAGAAGCACGAGCTGTACGTCAGCTTCCGAGACCTGGGCTGGCAGGTAAGGGCTGGCTGGGGTTGGGCTGGGTCCCTGGGGTGCAGGCCTGATAGAGAAGAGGACCCGGCCTAAGGCTACAGGAGGATCCTGTAGCACCCAGAGCAGAGATGTGATGGAGGCGGGAGCCACAGCTGGGAGGCCAGTCCCGGGACTCTGAACGCGTTCTCCAAGATGCCTCATTCCTGTCCTTGGCCGGGTCGGCTGTGTGTGCGAGCCTGGACAGCGGCTCCCCTTCCCTGACTCACATTCCCAGGGAAGGACCCGTAGGCCCAGCTCAGGTCCGCATTTGTTCCTGAGCTAGTCAGCAGTCTTAGGGGCTGCTGTTCTTCCATTTGGATGGAGCAGGGCAGAGGGCGAGAGCCTGATCCTGGAGGAGCCCGGGGCCCTGCAGCCTCACAGGTGTCTGCCAGGTGCCATCCTGAAGGACGCTGGCCCAGCCGCTGGTCCAGGGCTCTCTGGGCCCCAGGCTCCATTGTGGGGCTGGAGACGCAGCCCTGAACGTGGCCGTGGGTCTGCCCTGTGGAGCTCAGCTGTCCTGGACAGGGCGTGCTGTGGGATTAGCGGGAGCCCAGCATCCTGTGGGGGTCGTGCACACAGCCAGCTGGGTCCCTCCTGTGAGTCCATCCCCGGGACCGATGACAGACCCCAGGCTCCAAGGGGTGCCAGGCAGTGCTCGCATTCTACCGCGGGCAGACCCCAAACCCCAGGGGCCTCTGTGGGAGATTCCGAGGCCTTCAGAGTCACCAGCGGTCTGTCGCTGCCTGGATGGGATTTGCATGCCAGCAGACCTGGGGCCAGTGTGGCGTGTCACCTACCCGGCAGTGTGCATGTGGCAAGCACAGTGCCGGGGAAGAACTCCTGGCCAGGCCCAGGTCCTTAGGCTCTGGCAGGTGGGTGTGGCCAGACGTGGAGGTTCGCGCCTGTGTCTCTGACCCCAGCTGCCTCCTGGCTGGACACCTTCAGCCCTGAGATGCAGCCATGGACCTGCCCATGCCCATTTCCGCCCAGCGCCTGCCTTCCCCTCATTTTCAGGGTCCAGTGTCTGCTGGACACTGGCCCAGGTGGATGTGGCCTGAGCCTTGGCCCCAGGACGTGGGCTCACAGGAGAAGGGTGTCCACCGGGGCCGGGTTCCCCACCTGTCCTCTCTCCCCAGGACTGGATCATTGCGCCTGAGGGCTATGCCGCCTACTACTGCGAAGGGGAGTGCGCCTTCCCTCTGAACTCCTACATGAACGCCACCAACCACGCCATCGTGCAGACACTGGTGGGTGCAGTTGGCGGGGTGCAGGCTGCATGGCCACAGAGCCTGCCTCCTTCTGGCCTGGTGCTGCCTCCAAGCTGGGGCCTGAGTGGGCATCTGCCCGAGCCCACATCACGACTTGTGAGCCCGGTGCTCCATAAGAGGGCATTAAAAATTACACTTTGTGACAGCTGTAAAGATGAGTATAGCCTTTGACCCTAAAGTTTGTTTTTCCTTTTTTTTTTTGGTACCTTGTTTTTTGGCAGTCCTGGGATTGAACCTAAGCCTTCACACTGAACTATACCAACTTTTTTATGACTTTTTTTGTTGTTGTTTTTTTGTTTAATTTTGAGACAGGTTCTTACTGTGTTGCCCAGGCTGGGCTGGAACTTGCCACCGCCCTGCCTCAGCCTCCCAGAGTGCTGGGATCACAGCCATGAGTCACTGTGTCTGACTTCTAATTTTTACAATGAAGCACGTTCCTGGGCTCCTGGAGTAGCATGGGCTCTGGTCACTGGTGCTAACTGAGAAGTGACCTCTGCACTGCCTGTGACTTGTGTCCGCAGGTGTTAGGCTCTGTGTTCTGTTGAGACGGACCTGTCTGCACCCCCACCTCACCCTGGCCTACTCCTCTCTCTGCCTTCTGGGACGGGTAAACGTTCTTGTTCGTCACGGCCCGTGGCCTCCTCAGGCTTCCGTGTATTTGGTTGGCAGAGCCAGTGTGCTAGAAAAGCAGGAGTTTCCTGTCAGAAGCCGACGCGCTGACCCTCTGGCCTGTCCTGAGCCCTCAGCTCCTGTGAGGACATTGGCCATGGTCTGCCGGCCCGTGGTCACCTTGGGCGGAGTGGCAGCCTCTCCCGTGGTTTGCCTCAATCCGCCTTCATCCCTTGTGTTTACTCCTGGCCTACTTTGCTTTCAAAGGCACTCTGGTGGCATCCAAGTCCCTGTCTCAGAATTTTAAACAGCTAGAAAGGGTTGGGGATGTAGCTCAGTGTAAAGGTGCAGGTTCAGTCCCCAGTGCTGCAAAACAAATAAACAAACCCCTTTACTGTCTTCATCTGCAAAATGGGAGTGGTCCCAAACTGCGCTGGTACATGCGCCCAGGACCCAGAGGGCTCAGAACGTATCACTTGGGATGATTTTGCCCAGGCAGGGGATGTCCCTTAGAGAAACACAGAGGCCAGGCCAGAGGGCCTGCTCCCCATCTCACCAGTCTCCGTTCATGCGTCGCAGGTCCACTTCATCAACCCGGACACCGTGCCCAAGCCCTGCTGTGCTCCTACCCAGCTCAATGCCATCTCTGTCCTCTACTTCGACGACAGCTCCAATGTCATCCTAAAGAAATACAGAAACATGGTGGTCCGGGCCTGTGGCTGCCACTAGCCCCTGATGGAAGTCCTGCCCTTGGGGTCACGTTTATTTGAGTCTGCACTGTGGCACTGCCCAGCATCTCCGCCGCCCACCTTGGCAAGGAACCAGCAGACTGATCATCTTCTACGAGGCCTCCCTGTCCCTCCCCAGTTTTACAGGTCTAAGAGTGCTAGGAATTGGAGCACCAAGTGGCTTTTGATCCATTTTTCATCGGTGGCACCCTAAGGACAAGATCCTACGAGCTACTACAGGCAAAATCTGGCAGGAAACACATCTGTGAGGAAAGATCACTCAGCCGCGGTCATCAGCTGTACTGTCCCCGCCACACCCTGACTTGTTCCAGAGATGATTAGGACGCCCTTCAGCCAGGTGACCAGCCACCAGCTGCAGGAGGAGGGGACATGGCCAGGGTGGGCACCTGTGTCTGTGCTGAAGGGAAACATGCAGAATTCTTTGTAATAAATGTCACAATAAAACCAATGAATGAAAATGGTTAGGATGTTACAGGTATATTTTCCTAAACGATTTATCCCTGCTTCTGGGTTTATTCTGACTTTATGAACAGCAGCGGTGGCCGGTGGAGGGCAAGGAGCCCCCTTCTGTTCTGTTCCGGTGTCAGCTTGAGGCTGCAGGGCCTGTGTTCACCCAGATCCCACTGCAGGGGCCGGCGGTGTGAATGTATGCTGGAGGGGGCTCCCTGTCACCCTTCTGCAGGTGTGTGCTGGCAGAAGTGAGACGTGACAGACGGGATGGGTCCTCCGGCCTCCCCTGCTGTAGGGAGCAGTTTGAAGTAGTGGAATAGACAAGGACAGACAATAGTATGGCGCTTGCGACTTCAGCGTGGTGTTAACACAGAAGAAACGTAACTGTCACCGGCTTCTCCGAGCAGGGCCCTTGGCGTCTCCTCTCGGACGATGCCCCGACTAGGGTCCTGCCAGGGGCATTGAGGCTGCCTCCTTTTGCTTCTTGACCCCTAGCAGAGAGCTCTGCAGACAGATTTGCTGCTTGAAGTAAGAGACAGGCCAGTGGGAAGGCTGATGGGCACAGGGCATGCTGGACTCGAGTCGCAAACAGAAGGATCTAGATCAGTGGTGGCGAACCTTTTAGGGACGGACTCCCCAACTGCAACCCAAGACCTGCTTATTTATCGAAAAGTGCCAACACTGCCGTTATACCCGGACACTGAAGTTTTAGTTCAGAAAAACCAACTCAGACGCTTGGCTTGCGTGCTGACAGAGGGCTGTGTGTGCCCGCTGCCACCCGCCTGCCATAGGTTCGCCACCACTGATCCAGAGAGCGACCTCCTAAACGAATGCCCTGATTTGGGGTGGCGGTATCTGTGCTGCAGCTCTGGTGCCAGCCCCCTTGGCTCTGCTGCTCACCCCGTAAAGGGGTGTGTGTACCAGCCCCCAGCTGTAAGCGCAAGGCCTAGGGAGGGCTGGGCTGCCCTGGGACACTTCCCACATCTGCTCAAAGAACACAGCTCATTTCCCAGGCACGACCCGGGCCGGGGGGAACCTGGCCCTGGGGAAGCTGTTCTCCAGCTCCATCAAGTCAGTTCCTAGAACCACACTGGCTTAGCTTTTGTTCTCTGTTCTTTTTTCTTCTTTAGTAGCTTGGGCTGCAGCTCTCACTACCTGGCTGCTGAGGGATGAGAATTTTTTGTTAGAATTGTTCTGTTGTTGGCAGATCTGGGGCTCTCTGTGGGACTCCTGCTTGGTGTGAGTTTTTCCACTACTTTAGTGCCCCCGCCGGCCTCTTTTGCGCATTGTTTGTGCATTAAAACATGTAAATAGTTGTGATGACAGAGATTATTTATTTCCATCTGAAGCTCTTTTGCAAACCCTCCTTTCATCCCTTGTTCAGAACAACGAGCTTGCTTTCCTCCAACCTGTTTGTTTTCTTATTTAAGATTATTTATTGATGATTGGACCGATGTACCCATGGCTGTCGCATAGAGCAGCCCTTAGTGACAATTCTGTATAAATAAACACAATAAAAAGGGTTTTGACTTTGCAATAAAAGGAGTCATTTGGTTCTGGTTCTTGGGCTGTGTATGTGTATGTATTGCTTCTCTGTACACTCCTGAACCCTGGGACTTCTCCCCATTAGCATGCTGTTTATCTTGGGCCTGGGGGCTGGGGACCATCTCCTTGTCAATATTTGATGCAGCTGTGTGAGGCTCCATGCAGGAGAGACTGGACCCAACAACAAATGTGGATTTGGTAGGCTCGGCTGCAAATACCCTTGACTGAATTACAGGGCAGCTGTTAACAGCTGTTTGAAAGAGGCAGGGGGTAAATTAGCTGTGTTTACTGCTAACATAGTTGAAAGATTTAGTCATCCCCATAAAATAGAGGCTCCAGAGAGAGGCTGGGGGGTTGCATGCACCCAAAACTTTAAACCACTGGCCCCAGAGCCCATGGCCGGTGCACATGGCTCTGGCAGTCGGGGGTGCTGCTGTGGGAGCCCCTTTCCAGAGGCTGACGGCATCCCAACCGCAGGCCTCAGGAAGGCAGTGGGGCCCTGTGCTCGGGAGCACGCCGAGTTTCTTTTCTTTTTGAAGTGTGTGCTGTGGTCACCCGATGGACGTCGCTAGAGTCCCAGCCACGTACTTGGACAGGCCGAGGTCCTCCCCAGTTGCCTCAGACCGGGCGGCTGCTCCTAACAAGTTCCAGCCCCTGCGATTTCCAAACCCTCCTGTCATTGTCCCGATGCACAATTTAGCTTTTGTTCTCTTTTCCAGGCCGAAGATCAGAGCCACAAACTGGAGGTCCAGATGTGGCCTCGAAGCCGTGCCTTACTCCCCGGGCCTGGTGTTTACCCAGTTTTTAAAACATGAATTCATTCCCAATGTGTTTTTGAAAATCAAAAGATTGGAGTGGAAACAACAATCCCCAAATCTGGCTTCTCTTGTGAAATCAACAGATCTGGGCCCTGGGAGCCCCTGTCTCACAGCTGCTCGGAGGGGCAGGGGGCCACAGAGGGCCAGAGCCAGCTGCCGGGCACACAGACCGCTCTGTACCCAAGCCCCAGGGAAGGCAAGAGCCGCACCGGCAGAGGCCCACGTTGCGGCAGGCGAGGCAGCTCTTCCCGCGGGCCTTTCCCGCTGTGGACCTGTGTGCGCACACGGGCACAGTGGCCTTGTCCGGCCTTGGCGTTCGGCTCCTCCCTTCTGGATCGCTCCTGCCTGCCCGCACCTTGGAGCCTTCCCTCCTCACTTGAATTGGACTAAGTTCCCCAGCCACCGATGGCTGGGACCACAGCGGGCCTGCACAGGCCAAGCGGAACCCTGCTCCCCCCGCCGGACTCTCCTGGGGCTGCTTGGGAAATGGGTAGTGGCCCCAGCTCCGGCCTCTGGGTGTCCTGCCTGTGTCAGCCCTGCACCCACAGCTGGCTGGCCCTGGCTCAGCACCCGGGCTCCCTGCTGTTGCCACACTGCTTGGGGACCTTCATTTGAGACCCTGGCCCTGAACTTGGGGCTCCCGATGCTGGGCTCAGGGCCTCGCCTGCCCAGCTGTGTACCCTTCCCGCTGTGGTCCCTCCCTCTCCCTGGGGGCCTTGCTGGGGCTGGGAGGGGGCATCCAGATGGGAGCTTTTGAGTCCTTCCCTCTCCTGCTCTTTTGGAGAAAGCCCGTGAGCTTCCTGCGCTGCCATAGCAGCAAACTTCTACAAACTGGTGGTTTAAACAGGACATTTATTCTCACGGTCCTGGAGCTAGACGTCCAAAGTCGAGGTGTCCTGGGGCTGCCTCTCTCTGAAGGCTCCAGGCGAGGATCCCTTCAGCCTCTTCTGCCCGTGGCTGTCTCCACCCGAGCCGCTTCCATTTTCATGCCCCCTTCTGCATCTTTCCTCCCCTGCACCTCTGAAGAGGGCTCTTGTCATTGGATTTAGGGCCCAAAGATATTCCAGGATGCTCTCACCTCATGCGTCCTTGGCTGATGGAGTCTGCAGTGACCTTTTTCCAAGTGATGTCATCTTCCCAGGGCCTGGGGTGGGGCAGGGTGTAGCTTTTACAGAGCCACCACTCAGCGCAATGCCATGAGGTTACAGTCACCCCCAGAGTCCCCGTGCCCGCTGCTGACCCTTCTTCCACATTTCTCCAGTGCCGGGTGAAGGTGCAGGGCCCGCAGCCACGGTGGCCCTTTCCAGGGCTAGGGCTTGTGCTGGGGACAGCACCGGCTCCCTCTTTGCTCACAGGTCATTTGCTAGGTCACTAATGCACGGTGCATCTGCTGTGCCAGGAGCGGTGGGGACAGGGACAAAGCGAAGCGTCTTCACTCAGGCAGCTCCCATTCGGGGACTTGAGTGAACAAATGGTAACCAGAGCCACCCCGGGCCTGTGGGGCCTTCCTCCGCAGAAAGTCAAAACTCTGTTCCATGCAGTGTTGGCATAAGATGAATATAAACCAGACCGAATCATATTCATTTCTTCTGATTTTAAAAGATTAAAATATTTTTGTGAGCCCCTAAAAATACCATGGCCCTGGGCTCTGGGTCCACTGAGCTTGGTGGAGAAGGCAGGCCTGATGGCGAGCAATTCGATACCAACAGGATGTGTGTCAAGGAGGGATGCAGTGCGCTTCACACAGGGCGGCCAGGGGCGGACTCACCAGAGACCTGACTATAGAATAGAGCAGGCCCGGGAGAGGGCCAGCTTCCTGCAGAAGGAGCACTTCCGACTGAGTGATCAGTAGGTGCAAAGGGCCTGTGGTGGGCTTGCTGTGTGGGCAGGAAGTGGTTGGAACGGCGGTTGGAGCAGTCAGCTACCTCAAGGTTGGTCAGTGAGGTACAGCCTTGAGGGCCACAAAGGGACTTAGAGCCATCAGAGGTGATGAAACCCTGGGAAGGCAGGTAGGGTAAGAGGCTTGGGAGGGCTTCAAGGAGGAAGAGGAGTTCTATCCCAGCTTCTGGGACATGGCTCTGCAGAGGCTGGGACAGCTCTGTGGCGCTTCGGGGACCACTTAAGCCCTTGCCTCCTGGTTTGGGGCTGGAGGTGGCCCTGGCCATGTGCACTGCACAGGCAGCTGAGGACAAGGGCAACCACCCATTCCCTCTGGAAGACACCTACTGCCTTCTCCAAGGGCTCACCTGGGGTGGCGGAGACATCTCCGGCCACTGAGCGAGGGGTGTGGGGTGGAGGGCTGGAGTCAGTTCCAGCACGGGTCAAGCCACCTACTGACCTCCACCTTGGGAAAACTGACTATCCTCTCCATGCCTCAGTTTCCCTACCTGTGGGACAACTGCTGTGGTGCCCATCTTACTTAGGATATTTAACATCAGCTGCATATAACAGGAAAACCCAAAGTCATTGGTCTAAAGAAGATAAAAGTTTCTCTCTTTATTTTTTTTTTGGTACCAGGGATCAAACTCGGGTCCTTGTGCTTGTGCAGTCTCTCTCTTTTAAAAGAAGTCTGAAGGTCAGCCAGCCAAAGTCAGGGTGGTAGCTCTACTGTGCTGGAAAGGATCTAGTTTCTTCTTGTCTTTCTGCTCTCCTGTGTTAATACATAGCTTCCACAATCACAATCACCTCATGGTCCAAGGTGGCTGCTGGAGTGCCTGCCATCAAAATATTCTCCTTTTAAGTAGCTGTCTCAGTGATCAGACAGAAAAGCTCCACACACCTCTCAAAGCCAAAGCCAGAGCACAATGCGGCCACTAAGTTCCCAGCTGGAGTCAGGGGCCTCGCCCACATGCATCGGTGTTTGGCCCAACTTAGTTTCTCCCAGGAGTAAGACTGAGGTCACCTTTTCTTGGTGGCGTCTCCCTTGCATCACTTCCAGCTCCTCATCCTCCGGCCTGTCCCCAGGGGGCTCTCTCAAGGCTTAGCAGCTAATTCTTCAGCTCTCTGACTGCTCGCAAGGGCTCCCCCAGCAGGCCAGGCCACTGGCACCCCCGACTCAGTCACCGGGTAGGGACTGGCCCGTGTCTCACAAAAGCCCCTCCCCTCTGGGAGAGGTGCCCTCCATGGCCACTGGAGGACATTCCTCGGGCATGGGAAGCCCAGGAGCTCCTCAGAGATCGTCCAGGGCATGTGGCTCTGCTCCTCCTCGCTCGGGTGATAGAAGACAGAGACTGTGCTGACAGTGAAGCACCGGCCAGCGGCAGGACACCGTCAAATGACGGCCTCAGCAGGATCCACAGACTCCTAGAACTCTGCCACCTCACCAAGTGAGCCAAGGAGTTTGAGTGCATGAGATGTGACCAAAAATGTGGTGAATGCTTACCTTAAAAATGTATTACAGGAAAAGACAATTTGCCAGGACCCCCTCAGAATACTCCCCCTCCCTTTGCAAACACTTATCCCACTATTCTTGCCACATCCTGAAGCAGTTCTAGAAGTCCTCTTCCATGACTGTCTTATATCATGCTATCGTGGCTGCCTTGATGTCCTAAACCATTCAAATTGTTTACCTTTCCTGGTCATTTTGACCTCTGGGAACAACCAGATGTTGAATGGACATGATAGAGAAGTGCTACACAATAAGACAGGCCCTTGCCTGGCCTCCATTTTTTTTCCCACAGAATGTTTTGTTTTGGAAATGTAGATTTGTGCTGCTGGGCTCCTGCCCAGT